GGGGGGGGGGGTACAGCTGTGATGGGGTGATGGGGGGGCTCACACAGCTGGGATTCCAGGGCCCCAGGGTGGTCTCACGGGCCCTGGGGGAGGGGAGCCCCCGCGGTCAGCAGCCCCTTAACCCCACCCTCAGTGACTGTCCTCTCAGGGTACAGACTGGGACGGACCTGTAGGGACACACAGGGCTTCCAGCCTCCCTCTTGCAGTTGAGAAAAACAAGGCCCCGAGAAAAGAGGGTCCCCCTGTCAGGCAGAGCCGAGCAGGCGAGGAGCCCAGGCCTCCTGGCTCCCAGTCCCTTGCCTGTCCACATGGAAGTCCCTGGAATCCCTGGGCCTCAGTTTGCCCACCTGGGCAGTGGGGCTGTCCGGTGGGAGGCCAGCCGCAGGACTCTTGCTGTTGCACCAGGCCCAGAGTCTCTCCAGACTTTGGCTCCCAGGGTGGCGCTCCGGCCCTGGGGGAGGGTCCTCGCCAGACAGGTGTGGCAGCGAGTTTCAGAACAGCAGCCAAGCAGGTGGGGCCCAGCCCGGGCTGCCCTGCGCCAGGCTCTCAAGGAGCCCTGGGCGTGGAGTACAGTCTGCCCGGTCAAGGTCCAGGGGCGGCCCGCTGGCAGATGGCTGTGGTAGGTGGCAGGGTGCCGGGCCTGGGGCTGAAGATGGGTGGGCTCCCTGCTTCCGATAGGAAGGCTCCTTGTCTGGGAGGCGGGGGGCATTTAGTGGCTTGTCCACTGGGGCAGAGTGGGGTGAAGGGGCCCTCGTCCCCACTCCCTAGCCCTGATACTCAGGCAGCTGCCCCATGGCAGGCGGGCTGTCTCTGGGCGGGCAGGGCTCTGTCTGCCTCCAGCCCCACCTCATCCTTTGCCGGTGTGGGGCCGGCGTTGCCCACCATCCCTGAGCACCGGAGGGGTGGGTGCGGTGGGCTGAGTTCTGAAGGGAGAGGCGTTGCTGGGGGGGCTCATGGCCCACCCTGGACCACCACAGAGCAAACCCCGGCCCTCCTGGGCAGCTGGTGTCCCTGTGGACAGAGGGGCTGTGGGTCTGCCGTCTCTCCCAAGGAGAGGAGCAAGGAGATGGGTGAGGGGTGCCAGCTGAGGGGCTGCTTCACCCTCCAGCTCAGGGAGGCTTTTCAGAGCCTGCCCTGCCCCTGCCCACCTCCGGCGCCCTGGAGCTTACCCCATGTCACCCATGTCGCCCACCTGGCCCAGGAGTTTGAGAATGCTGAGGGGGAAGAGTACACGGCCGACTTCTCGGCACAGGGCTCCCCGGCGGCTGCCGCTCAGAACGGGCCAGACGTGTACGTCCTGCCGCTCACCGAGGTCTCCCTGCCCATGGCCAAGCAGCCGGGGCGATCAGGTGAGCGAGCACGAGGGGGGGGCCCAGGTGGTGCCACAGGGTGTGCACCTGGGCGCTGTGAGCAGGCTGGGGGTCGGTGCAGAGGGTCGGTGAAGGGCACGGGGGCAGGGATTGTCCCCTCCGGTCCTGGGATGGGCCACCCATGTGTTGGGAGGAGAGGCTCCTCTGCTGTCCCAGAATGCCTGACCCCTGACCCCCGCTCGGTGCCGGCTGGCCAGGGAGGGACATGGGTTCCATTGTGCCCAGTGGGCAGTGCCCACCCACTCAGGGGGGAGGGGCTCTTTGGGGCTCCCTCTGTGGGCGGCTGTGAATGGGCCTTTCACAGGCCCCAGGGGTGGGGGCAGGCCAGCGTGGACCTGACCAGATGCTGCCCGCCTGGAGCCCAGCCTTCCTCATGGGCCAGGGCCCCCAAGACACTGGTCTGGGTCCCAGAGCAGCTGTAGCTGCCAGCCCCAGGGCCCGGGGCTCCATAGGTGCCACCCCGCACCCCCAGCCTCCCTGCCAGGGTCTCCATGGCACCTGTTAGGCAGGAATGAGCGCATCTGTTTAGAGGAGCACCCATAAAACCCTGAGGGCAGGCTCTCTGTTGCGGAGCCCCCAAACTTCCCGGATGACCATGGGGGTTGCTGGACACTGGGAGGTGGTAGGGAGCCAGGGGCCACCCAGGGAACACTGCCCCCAGGCCTCGGCCTGTCACCTCCCAGCGAGTGAGAGCCTGGGACCCGGAGAATCTTTGAGGCCCGGTGTCTTCTCCCAGTGAGAGTAATGCTCTGGCTGGAAACGCCCGGGGCCTTACCTGGGCCATGGGCTTCCCACAGATACCTCCCCTTCCCAAGCCGCGTTAGCACTGACCTGGCCCGGGGCGTCTTGCTGGGATGGCGAGGCGTCCTCAGGAAGCACCATAAGGAAACGTTGAGAAGATACAGGTTTATTACTCACAGGACCTGGAAGTGACAGATTCTTGGGCTGCAGGGAGGTCGCAGCAGAGAGGGAGGATGCCGGCCTGGGAGCTGCTCTCCCTGGGGTGGAGAGAGGGGCTCTCTTTTTAACGGGAATTTTAAAAAAAGCAGGAAGAGAAAAGAAACCCAGTGGCCCAGATGGTCAGCTATTGAAAACAGCCAGGGTCTCCATCCAGGACAAAGGAGGGGAGGCAGGGCTCTCTCTCCGGTGTGAGGCCGGCAGTGGGTTTATTTGAGGCAGCCTGTTGGCATGGACACTTCAGCAGTGAACGCTTAAGTCCGTTTTTTTTTGCAATACCACAAAAACACACAACCCCCCCCACACACAACAAAAAAAAACCCAAAAACAAACTGATGTCAGGACTTACAAGACACCGGGCTTTTCCCATCCTGGGGGAGTGTCCCCAGGGGTGAGAGAGGACAGGGACCCAGGGGAGTGATGGCCTGTTTTCTCCGTTTTTCAGCTCTCGGTCTCTGTTTTCTGTAGGGTCCCCTGATTCCAGGGAGGGGGAAAGATTTTGGGTGATGCTGGGAGGGCAGCCCACCTGGAGGTCAAGGGTTAAGAACCTGGGCAGCAGGGAGGATGTCACAGCCAGGCCCAGGCTCCACGCTCCCTAGCCCGGCTCTGAGGGCACTGCCCCCTGGGCGGACCCCAGCACCCCCATCCCTGGCCCGCATGCCTCCTGCAGCTGCGAGGGGAACTTTCCCATTGGGGCAGTTGGCACGCTCCCGCCTCCCTCACTGCCCCAGTGCCCTCTGTCCGGACTGCTGAGCCTGCTCTGGGAGACCCCAGGCCAGAGGGGGACCCGCAGGCCGGGGCTCAGGGGGGAGAGCCCTGGGGCTCAGAACCCACCCTAAATTCTGCTCAGCATCAAGGTCAGCATTCCCTGGGCCCTCCGGGCAGTTGGCGTGGGAGCAGAATTCAGGGAATCCCTTGGGCATAGGAGGGCGTGAGTGGCCCCCGCAGCCCTGGCCCTGCCCCTTCCCCCTGCTGACCTCACCCAGCTGGCTGGCAGGAGAATGAGCCCACTGTGTCCCGTGCGGGGCCGTGCCAAGCAGCCCCCAACAAAGGAGCCTTTGGCGTGCCTGGTGCTGGAATGCCAGCCAGTGGCAGGGGTGAGGGGACGGGTCGGTCCAGTGTCGTCCTCCCCACGGCCTCAGCCTGGCCACACTGCAGGCCCACATTGCCCCAGCACCGGCCCTGATCTAGGCCCCGCTGTCCCAGCCTGACTCGTCCTTGCGGCGTGAGGCACAGCCTCCCCAGACCCACCCAGAAAGATGCCGAGATGCATCTTGCAGGTCCACAGCTCCCCTGGGCAGCCAGCACCCTGCTCCTGAGGGCGGCCCCCAGGTGTGGCTCCCAGAACATGCCGAAAGGGCAGCCCCTGTCGGGGCCAGGTGGGGGTGGCGGAGGCTGAGCTGAGGTCCCTGAGCGCCCCGCCCCGTTACAGTGCAGCTGCTCAAGTCCACAGACCTGGGCCGGCACAGCCTCCTGTACCTGGAGGAGATTGGCCACGGCTGGTTCGGGAAGGTGAGTTGCTGACCCTGGGGTTGGGAGGGGTTGGCACCATGGGCCCCTCTCTTGCCTGGAGGGGGGGGGGGCAGGTAGAGACCGCTTTTCCTGGGAGCCTCCCCAGTCCCAGTGCCCCCTCTCTCTTCTAGGTCCCACCCTACTGGGCCCTTTCCTGGGGAGCTCGGGGTCTGCAGCCCCTTCTGTGCTGTCCTGGGAGGTGCCTTGGAAAGGGCTGGGCAGGGGGCAGGGGCAGCATGTTCGTCCTGGCTTCTCTCTGTCCCCAGCCTGGGTGGGGCAGGTAGGGCCCCTGTCCTCACTTTGGGCCTTAGAGAGCTCGGACAGCAGCCAGGGCAGGATGTCAGGGCCAAGAGGGCTCACGGGGAGGGTCCAGCCTCATTTCTCAGCGTGCAAGTCGAGGCACAGGAAGCGGTGCCCAGCCAGGAAGGGTGGTGATACGTGCGCCCCTCCCCAGGTGTTCCTGGGGGAGGTGAACTCGGGCATCAGCAGCGCCCAGGTGGTGGTGAAGGAGCTGAAGGCCAGCGCCAGCGTGCACGAGCAGATGCACTTCCTGGAGGAGGCGCAGCCCTACAGGTGCGTGGCCCGGGGGGCGGGCGGGG